TATATATATATACATACATACAGTATATATATAAAATATAAATATAATTATACACATCTACATGTGACGTGAGTACACATGTGAGTATGTGTTTTGTTTGCCATTGACACATCACCTGTTTAAAATCTGAATGTGAATGCAAAGCTAATTATGAGTTGTTCTCTGTAGCTTGCAAGAGCCACAGTCAGAGACCCAAACACAGGTGTTCTGACGGTCGCCCATTACAGAGTTTCCAAAAGGTGAGCTCGTATACATTAGTTCATTTAATGGTATTCATGTCTGGCTTGATAAGAACATAAGGTGACTCGGGCTGGACGGTATGACAGTAGAAAAGTGTTCATTTCGCAATACGAAGCATATCACAGTAGATATATTTGCGTGGATGTTGACGGAAATCTTGTGCTCAATTGCTGATATTCAGAACAGCATCACTCTTGATCATGTGATTGCTTGAATAAACTGGATTTGTCATTATATTCATTACAAAATAAGTATATTCTGATATACCTTTACTGTAATGTAACATTTTTCATTCTGTGATTTGATCATAGTTTTCACCCCTAGGCAATACATTCATAAGTGTACTTATTTGATATTGAAACACGGCTGTTGAACAGAATTTTGCCCATTTCTTGCTTTGTGATGATTTTCTTGTCTTCCGGTGTGTCTGCAGCGCGTGGTTAGAAGAGGAAGATGATCCAGTGATCGCTCGGGTCAATCAGAGAATAGAGGACGTCACTGGATTATCTGTAAACACCGCAGAACTTCTACAGGTCACTCATCCAAAATACACCAGAAAATCACACATACAATCTGTGGTCTCCATATGCTTCAGTATCACACCATATCATATCATATCATATCATATCATATCATATCATATTCATGTATCATATCATATAATATATCATATTTATCATATATCATATATATCATATCTCATATATCATATATCATATCATATCTCATATATCATATATCATTCATATCATATCATATATCATATCATGTATCATATCATATATCATATTTATCATATATCATATATATCATATCTCATATATCATATATCATGTATCATATCATATAATATATCATATTTATCATATATCATATATATCATATCTCATATATCATATATCATGTATCATATCATATAATATATCATATTTATCATATATCATATATATCATATCTCATATATCATATCATATCATATTTATCATATAATATCTCATATATCATATATCATGTATCATATCATATAATATATCATATTTATCATATATCATATATATCATATCTCATATATCATATATCATATCATATTTATCATATATCATATATATCATATCTCATATATCATATATCATATCATATTTATCATATATCATATATATCATATCTCATATATCATATATCATATCATATTTATCATATATCATATATATCATATCTCATATATCATATATCATATCATATTTATCATATATCATATATATCATATCTCATATATCATATATCATATCATATTTATCATATATCATATATATCATATCTCATATATCATATATCATATCATATTTATCATATATCATATATATCATATCTCATATATCATATATCATATCATATCTCATATATCATATCATATATCATATCATATTTATCATATATCATATATATAATATCTCATATATCATATCTCATATATCATATATATCATATCATGTATCATATCATATAATATATCATATTTATCATATATCATGTATATCATATCTCATATATCATATATCATTTATAATTTATCATTTATCGTATATCATTTAATATCATTTATCGTATATCATATCATATATCATATATCATTTATCATATATCATATATCATTTATCATTTATCTAATCTCATATATCTCATATATCATTTATCATATCATTTATCATCTATTATTTATCATATATCATATATCTTATCATTTATCATTTATCATTTATCTAATATCATATATCTCATATCTCATATATCATTTATCATCTATTATTTATCATATATCATTTATCATCTATTATTTATCATATATCATATCATTTATCATCATATCATATCACATCACAGTAGAATGTACTTCTCAAATTAATAATATTCATATTAATAATACCATTATTAAAACCTAATTTAAGGAATAATCACAAATAATTTTCTTCCATGTTTTAAATTTAACAATAAACATCTGTTGTGCAGCACTTTGTTTGTCAAAAATAAAATGAATTGTTACATTTTCACTTGTTTTACATTTTAGAAGTTTAAATTATAATATAGTATAATATATAGACTTTAGAGACAGTATTGCATATTATATTATAATATAATATGGAGTAGCATATAGAAAATAATGCACGTTAAAATAACAGCAATCATATTTGGTCACACTTTATTTTAAGGTCCAATACTCGCTATTAACAAACAATTAACTATGACTTTTGCCTCAATAAACTGCTTATTTGCTGCTTATTAATAGTTAGTAAGGTAGTTGTTAGTTGAGGTATGAGGTGGATTAAGAGATCTAAAATATGATCATGCAGAATAAGATATTAATATGTGCTTTATAAGTACTAATAAACAGCTAATGTGCTAGTAATATGCATGCTAGGTAATAGTGAGAATTGTTCTTAAAATAAAGTTACAGATTGTTGACCCACATGATTTAATTTGCACACAATGCTTATGTGAACAGTGAATTGTCTCTGTTGTGATTCTGATACAGAATTTGTGGGAAAAGGGTTTTCTTATAACTTCTGTTGAATCTTAGGTGGCTAACTATGGCGTTGGAGGTCAATATGAACCACATTATGATTTCTCAAGGGTAAGACCTTTGTGCAAGAACAGTGGCACGTGCATGAAGAAATATTAGAGACAGTTTTCATTAAAAACAATGCAATGGCATATTTAAATTTCTCTGATGGTTAAGAAAATTTATATATCAGTGGGACTTTTTTTTTTTTACTGTCAGCTGACACACAATATCCATTTCTCATCTTTATCCATATTTTGTACATAAAACTACTGATGAGACCCATTCCAATTGCGGTTGGAGGAATTACATTAGATTAGCATCAACTCAAGAATAAAGAGTGAAATTAAATAAGGTGTATACGTTAAGTTATTTCGTTCTAATGTTCATTGTCAATCACAGAAATACGGCTTATTATTAACCAGGTTTATTATTTATGATAAATAACGGAAGCATGGATGTGGCTAAGGCCAAAATAAACAAAGTAATCACTAGCTACTGAGGTGGTCAATCTAAACTTGCCTAAAGAAAAAGAAAAAATAAGATTATTATGATAATTATTGAAAGTTTTATTCTTTTTAATAATATGTTTTATGTGGAATATAGTGTGTCACCTGATGGCAAAATCCCATTTAAAATGTATCTAAGGGTACGTTTACACGACAACTATGTTCTGAAAATAGAACAGTTTTTCCTTCGAATTTTTGTAGAAGTTTTGCATGCAAACGACAACGTCAAAATGATCCCCGTTCACTGTATTATTCATGCCAGGCCAGTAGATGGCGATGTCACTTTGTAAAGAAACACTACGCACATACGTATTCCTGTAGACTTAACATGTAATATGCATGTGTATGACGTCACTGTTTACACGAAATTCACATTTATGTAGTTTACACAGAGATGATAATGGTATAATTTTCAAAAATTTGCATTTTCAGGCCCCCAATACATGGTTGTCATGTAAATGAACAGACAAAAAGCATAAAAAGTTTTGCGTTTTTAGTTGAAAATGATGTCGTGTAAACGCCCCCTACAGTAGAAGGTTGGAATGGCAGCTTACAGTGCACATTTTTATTGCTGGTGGTAATAAATTTCCTGACAATGTCATAGGGATTTTTATTGCTTATGAAAATGGGAATGCATTAGACATTTTGATTTTGACGAAAGTACCACATAAACCACTAGAGCTGAACTATTCTCCGAAGAAGATTATTTTACATTGAGTACATGTTTGTAAATTGATTTGACAGCCAACACTCAGCTTTTATGTTGTCATATTGAAGATAAAGTAACGTTGCCTCAGAGGCGGAGATATTCCACTGCTGCACTTCAGTCTGGTTTAAAAGTTACAAACGTCTGTTGCAGCGTCCTTTTGACGGCAACCTCAAGGTTGATGGAAATAGACTTGCCACCTATCTGAACTACGTAAGTACATGTGTTGTGCTTCTGCCTCTCTGCCTGTCTTTACTCTAAAATTTTATCTTCATAGAAAGATGAACCTGATGCTTTCAAATCATTAGGCACTGGAAATCGTGTGGCTACTTTTTTAAATTATGTAAGTATGTGTATCTTGTGGTGCCTGGTATTGCTCTCGTCTTGGCATCAGGTCTTGTAATATAAATCCACATGAACACTACACTACAGCAGTGGTTCTCAACCAGGGACAACAAGACAGAACGCATCAAAAGAAGCCAAACAACACTAAATATAGATTTAAAAAAAAAAAATTGAATTCACACCTTCAACAACTGTTTGTTTGCGTTGAAGAACCAGGATTCACACTGTCTGGATGTATGAGGGGGCCGGTTTTTAAAAGTGAGATTTATAGACCTGTAAAAGTCAGTATCAATTGTAAAAAGTATTTTTTTAAATCTAGTAAGTTATGAACAACTCAAACAGTTGTTCTGGATAAAATGGGCGTCTTGCTTGAGAATCGGTGCACTACACTTTCACAGCATTTTTAAGGCCACTGTGCATATTTTGTGACAATATAATATCTTTGAATAGCAGATACACTTAATCCAGACTGTTACATAGTACATTAAAAGACAACACAATGATAAAAATAAAAGCAAGACTCCCTTTATATAGTTATATAGGATAAATGTAAATGGCACCAAACATGCCATGACTTCTGGGTAGTGCTATTTACAATATTTACACAAATGCAAAAAGAAGGAAATGCACTAAAATACAATACAATGATGAAAATTGGCTTCTTAGTATTACTTTTGTTTCTAACTTGCCTTTATTTTGGACAGAATTTGTATCTTTTGCATTAAAAAAAATCACACTCATATTCTGCATTATATAGTACTTTTTAAAAATATTTTTCCACAACAAAAATGTGAAACTCTGATGGCATACCATGTTGTACTGCTTTGCGGTGAAAGTTGGATGTTGAGAATCTTTCTTCATTACAGATGAGTGATGTTGAGGCTGGTGGGGCGACGGTTTTCCCTGATTTCGGTGCTGCTTTTTGGCCTAGAAAGGTATGGACAATTTTTTTTAAACCTTTAATAAAACATGAATGAAATCATTACATCAATGATGATGATGATACTGCAATAATCACTTTTTTGTTACATATTGTAGCTATATGCGGTATATGTAGTAGATACAGTATTACACGTGCTGAAATACTCCTGTTACATTGTGTATAAGATAAAAGCAAACATTGACCGAATAATCGACTAATATTTGGTTATTTGAGATTATTGCATTGCTGAATAACGGTTACCTTTCCCTTGTATCAGTTCCTAAATCTACTAACAGCCTTGTCGATATATAACACACATTTTGAAAGAATTTTGAGTGAATATATTTTTTTAGAATCTTTAATTTTATTTCTTAATCTGATATGATTATTTTAAATCCTTTTTATGTAAAGCGCCTTGAAGTGCCATTGTGTATGTAATGTGCTATAGAGTAAATGAACCCACCTTGCCTTAAATATTAAGCACTGATGGGAAGATCGGATCACTTTACTGACTCTCGTTCTCGTCTTGTTCATTAAAATGAACTCATCTTTAAGTAATTTTGTTCATTTGAGTGGCATTAAATGTTAGATTGTCAACAGCCAAGTTCCCCGAACACATCCACCTACGTAATCTTGATCATATTCTGAATTAGGAAATCATTATAATGCAGCCAAAAATAATTTATAAAGGACATAAATGATTACTTTTGTTCATTTGACACAGTGAACAAATCGTTCATAAATAACCCGTCACTAATAGCAAGGAAAATACGTTTTTTTTTAAATGATTATTTTCTGTATTTTAATATATCAGAATTATATCACCCTGATCTTCAAGCTTTACATCGGCTTGTTGTAATGATCATTTGATAATTTGGTCACACTTTATTTTAAGGTCCAATTCTCACTATTAACTGTGACTTTTACCTCAATAAACTCTTAATCTGCTTATTAATTGTTAGTATATTATGCTTATGCAGAATAAGACATTAATATGTGACCCTGGAGCACAAAAGCAGTGTTAAGTCGCTGGGGTATATTTGTAGCAACAGCCAACAATACACTGTATGGGTCAAAATTATAGATGTTCCTTTTATGCCAAAAATCATTAGGATATTAAGTAAAGATCATGTTCCATGAAGATATTTTGTAAATTTCCTACTGTAAATATATCAAAACTTTTTTGATTAGTAATATGCATTGCTAAGAACTTCATTTGAACAACTTTAAAGATGATTTTCTCAATATTTAGATTTTTTTGCACCCTCAGATTCCAGATTTTCAAATAGTTGTATCTCAGACAAATATTGTCCTATCCTAACAAACCATACATCAATGGAAAGATTATTGATTCAGCTTTCAGATGATGTATACATCTCAATTTTAGAAAATTGACACTTAGGACTGGTTTTGTGGTCCATGGTCACATATGTGCTTTATAAGCACTAATGAACAGCCAATATGCTAGTAATATGCATGCTAATAAATAACTAGTTAATAGTGAGAATAAGTCCTTAAACTAAAGTATTACCATTAGTTATTTTACAGATGCAGCATTTATTCTTAAAGGATCCTCATCTTTCTGTAGGGAACAGCTGTGTTCTGGTACAACCTCTTTAAAAGCGGAGAAGGAGACTACAGAACCAGACATGCGGCCTGCCCTGTTCTAGTCGGCAGTAAATGGGGTAAGTGGACTAAATACAGACTCGTGTGAAGTTTAGTCTTCAAACACTGCTGCCACTTGCCGTGAATAGGCTGCAGATTGATGTACTTTTTAAATGCACAAATCCCACATTTTTCAGAGAGAACGGCTACTACTGCTTTTAGATAACAAAACGAACATGGCATAAGAAGTAGGTTGTTTTAAATGCATCAAATGTCCATTCCTCCCCCAATTCTCATTTACAAGTCTTCTCATTTGGCAGTTTCAAACAAATGGATCCATGAGAGAGGACAAGAGTTCAGACGCCCATGTGGCCTGACTGAAGAGGACTGATCCTGAGCTCGGTTCCAGCTGCAGTTCTGCAAACACGGACACAATCAGACACTCCAGATTCCTCAGGAACGCACATGAGTTCCAGTCAGGCAGGCTGGGGTTTGTGGGCCATTTCTCTTTTATTGAGTGTTTTCATTCACCTCTTCCTTAACATTTCTTGGCAGATTAAACCGGAGTATCGTGTCATGACAGAAATCCCATCGTGTTTATGTAATGCATAAATTATTGTCCTGTTCTTCAATGTTTATTTTAGATTCTTATATGGTTTGCAATAAAAACGTCGGAATTTGAAGTCATGTTTCTTTGTCTGCCTTTTGAGGAGCTGTTTGTATAGAAATATTTTGATTCGACAGAATTTATTACACAAACTTTTGTAATGTTGTAATGTTTGTTGTAATGCAAACTTTAATGTTAGGCTACAACGACCATAAACTGCATCTGAATTGATATTTAAATATATTTACAGACCGCTTATTGCAGCTCAGATGTGGCATGAATGCATTTACACTGCAATTACAATTTCATAAATAATGCTATGAGATTAATGGGTTTTAAATGGGTATTAAAGGGGATAATTCACCCAAAAAAAAGGAAAATTCTGTCATTAATTATTCACCTTAATTTCCTGAATGACTTAATTTCTTGTGTAGAAAAAAAAAAAGAAGATAATTTGAAAAATGTCTCAATTTTTTTCCCCCATACAAGTCAGAAGTCAGTAGTGACTGAAACAGTTTAGTTACCAACATTCTTCAAAATATCTTCATGTTTCACAAAAGAAAAATGCCATTCAGGTTTGAATCGACATGAATAATTAATGACAGAATTTTCATTTTGGGGTGAATTATCCCTTTAATGGGTGTTTTATTAAATGAAAATGTGAAATTTAAATGTCTTAATGAGTAGGCTGTGGGCTGCGTCTGAAATCGCATACTTCCCTACTAGGCTATACAGTAGGCGAAAAACAGTATGTGACAAAAGAATTATGTCCAAATTCACAGTACTCATAAAAGAGTAGGCAAAAGTACCCAGATGACCTACTACTTCCTGCGTGATTCTGAATGTACAGCACTTTGGTCCATTTTTATGGTTTTGAAAGTGCTTTATAAATAAAGGTTGAGTTGAGTTAAAAATGCAAAACGACTCGCCACCAGCACAAACAATCTCTGTAATTACCTTTCTCAATCAGATTGGATACTGTAATGTTTTTGCTGTAAACACATGATGCAACCACCGTTCTCTTTTCAAAGGGAAGACCTCAGTGTCTTCTGGGTTTGTTACCTGGTGTCATGGTGTAAGCTTGTCTAATCATAGGAGATGATTCAGTCAGACAGTAACACAATTAGCTATAATCTGTTTTCTGGAAAGGTCTGACTTAACTCACCACACTCGCACCATTAGCACATAGAGTCTAGTTTTGACCCTGAACAGAATAAGGCTGAACGTTCAGCTTCACAAACAGCTCGAAATGGAGGCAAAGTGGATGATTTTATTGTTCTCAACATGCTGGAGTTTCTGTGGTGCTGTAAATGAGTTCTACTCTTCAACAGGTTAGTGTGTTGTATTGTAACAAGATGAGAAAACGAGAACACTTCGCTCTTTAACCATATTTGTTTTTGTAGATGTGCTAACATACCTGTTTTAAAATGAAATGCTGTGTGCAGATCATATGACGCAGCTTACTGACATCAAAACACAGTTTGCCAAGAGTCTTCATGAATATATAGAAGCACTGGAGAGCCAAGCAGAACTTCTGAGAGGGTAAGTGTTACCTGTGGGGCTGATAGAGCATCAAGATACAGAGGAGAGCAAATGAACTGTAAAAACAGAAAATGACAGAATATTTCAAGGGCCACAAGAAACCTTTTTAGGATTACAGAAAAAAGTTTAAATAATAAAAGAAAGTGTCAAAGTTTAAACTTGGTAGTATGACGTGAGGAGAGAATGAGATGTTTGATATTTAGTAAATGCATAGAGCATATTATAAACAGCTACACAAACAGTGAAAGCATGTTAGTTTAGGTTATAGATTATATTAGGTTATATTTCGTTTGTTCATATATAGGTCTAATTAACCCCCGACGCTCTTCATTTAGGAGTTAAATTCATACTCCTCGTGATACTATATTTTAGTTCAATAGTATTTTTTTATCCAATATTTTGTATGTGGAAGGGATTTCATGGTACTAAAGTATATTCACTACTAGATTATTCAACATTTATGTCTTTATGTAACAATAAAAATATTAGAAAAAATATTTTTTTTTCCAATTTATGCAGTAAATCAAATATAGAAAAAAAAAACTATTTCAAATCCATTTAATGGAGGCAGATTAGTGCAATCAGGTGGAAAGAAATAAAATCATCTGTAATGGTGTAGCCGCTAGATGCCTGCATAACCGATATAAATATACTTTCAGGGCTGTGCTTTCACTATTTGTTGAGAACAGTGTTTTCAGGCTTAATATAGTTAGGTTTTGAGTTTGGATATATATTTAAACATTATCATTATCTATGTTCTTACAAAGTTTAGTTTAAAAATGTGACACAAATGAGCAGGAATGCTTTTAAAGAGCTTAATCCATCTGAGTCTGAACTGATTATAACCTCTTAGTTGAGTCTGTTGGCCCAGTTTTGCCATACATATCGCCAATATAGTGCCATGCATTGTCAGTCACACCAGTTCATTTGTGTGTGTGTCTGAAGCTATTTTTGATGTTTCAGAGTTTTATCCTGTCATTGCTGTGTGCTTTATTCTGCATTGTGGCTGATTTGTCGATTGTACCCCAAAACATCTCTGTATTTTCATTTTTTTCCCTCCTCTGGCATCATTTTGACCATGAAGAATTTATTTTTTTATGACCGTTTTGCCTTTTCCAGTTGTCAATTTTGTGTGTATGCTCATATAGCCAGTGCCAAAAATGTGACCTAGTTTTGTACTATTTCAATGAAGTTATAATAAAAAAAAAAAATTTAATGTAAAATTTCAAATGTAAAACTTGACCGAAGAGCAGCAAAGGGTTAAAAATAAACTATTTACAAATTAATCAAATTAATATTGATATTTCATTTTAAATCCTCAGAAATCATACATTAAGCCTACAAATGTTGAATCTATCAAATAATGAGACTATAAGTCGAGTGTTTGTTCATGATCAGTATCACACACACAGGTTTGTTTTTATGGTTTATGGGGACTCTCCATAGGCGTTACACACACACACAGAGCACAAATTGTGTGTTTTGTATTTGTTTGTTGTGAATCTATCAAGTAATGAGACTATAAGTCTAGTGTTTGTTCATGATCAGTATCACACACACACAAACACACACTCACACACACACACACACACACAGACCACAGAATTGGTCATACATTATTATACATTAAGCCTACAAATGTTGAATCTATCAAGTAATGAGACTATAAGTCCAGTGTTTGTTCATGATCAATATCACACATACACACACACACACACACACACACACACACACTCTCTCTCTCACACACACACAGAGCACAAATTGTGTGTTTTGTATTTGTTTTGACCACAGAATTCTGCGACACATCTTTCAGTATTTTTAATATTGATCTTAATTTATCAGGGCTCTGAATGCACTTGAGGATGACTTTGATGACACTCCCAGAGATGCAGAGAAATTCATCAGCAACCCTCTCGCAGCGTTTCAGCTCGTGAGAAAGCTAAGTCTAGCCTGGGCCGCTACGCAGGAACTTATTGAAAGAAGACAGGCAAAAGGTTCGAGGAGAAACACACAACTCTAATATATCACTCAGAAACTGGGCTTTCTCATAACAGTTGATTGTGTTATAAATTATCGTACCACATGTCATGTGAAGACTTGTTGTGCTGCTGTTGAGGCGCTTCATCCGTTTTTAATGGTAGATTATCTGTGAAGATCAACTGATGCAACCACTTGGAGGAGGAAAAGCTATAAATAAAACATGATTAAAAAAATTGAAGTCATTGTCAGTAACATTTCTCATGTTTCACAGACACTTTGGAAAGCCTGAAATCTGCAGCTCAGACTCTCCCCAGTGCAGAAGATGTAGAAGGTGTGGTGATGGCTTTGGTTAGACTGCAAGAAATGTACAGATTAGATCCGAGGAACATCTCCTTATTCTCTGGTGGGTTTCATGGTGACTTTATTTGTTCTTTATCACCAGTATAGCTCATGTAAACAGATGATAAAACAGGCAAAACATCCAGTAGACGTACACAGGACTGAGTCATATCTAAAGGCCAAAATGTTGATGTAGGCACTTGTATCTTGGTGAAAAATCTGGTTCAGTTTTCCCAAGTTTTCCCAAGATTTCCGTGATATCAACTTGATGTGTGGCTTTTCAGAAATGAACCACAACGTGACGCTGGATCCAGATGAAACTTTCCATATCGCCATGATCTCCTCTCTCAATCAGCGCTTTCAGTATGCCGTCCTCTGGATGGAGGAAACCCTCAGGAAACTCAATGAGGCGGAAGAAGCTGTCGTTACTAAAGACGAGGTTGTTTATCAGCTTGCTTCATTATCTCATCAGCTGGCAGTGATTCAGCTGTCAAGTGGGCAAGGTGAGGAGTTTACAAGAATGCGAATTAATTCAGAGATTTTTTCCCTTATATTCACATCTGCCATAAAAAAAATAAATAAATAAATATATATATATATGAACTCCTCAAACCTTGTGATCCATATTATCCAGCGGGATTTGAGAATGTTTCACAGAACATCATTATTTGGTTCAATGAAAGCAACAAACCTCGACCTTTTGAGTTCACATGATGCATAGAAATCTATATGTCTATTTTCTTTATTTGAAAGAATTTCACAAGATTTTAAATGCAAGATTTTTAAATGGTCTCACACATTAGGTTGCCACTGTATGTTGGCTTCTAAAGCATTATGTGCAATAATGCAAATCTTAACAAAGCTATATGTTAGCAGTGTGCTTTAACAGTAACAAAGGCTAAATGAAGATCAAATGCACTGATTCACACACGTGCATCTAATTTGCAATTGTTCTTAAGAGGCCACTGAGAGAAATCTGCTTCAGCCTGAACTTTACGCAAGCATAATAGAGAGCATTAAGACCTGGCACTGGACCGCCGAATACATCCCTCAGCTTTACTCTCCTCAGCACTCCTTGGACAAAACATATGAGGCTCTGTGCACTGGAAAGAGGCTTACGATGGTGAGTAGCAGCCTGAGAAGATCTACAGAGATTCATATTCTTCATTTAGTATTGCTATCATTTTTTAAAGATGAGCTTTCATG